GTTCAGTCTCCACAAGAGAAGGCTGAGGGGGGATCTAGTGGCCTGTTACAAACTAGTCGGGGGGGACCAGCAGGTACTGGGGGAGTCCCTGTTCCCCCGAGCACTACCAGGAGTGACCAGGAATAACGGTCACAAGCTGGCAGAGGGTAGATTCAGGCTAGACATCAGGAGGCGTGACTTCACGGTCAGGGTGGCTAGGATCTAGAACCAACTTCCAAGAGAAGTGGTGCAGGCTCCTACCCTGGGGGTCTTTAAGGGGAGGCTAGATGAACAGCTTGCTGGGGTTGTTTGACCCGAGTACTCTTTCCTGCCATGGCAGGGGGTTGGACTTGATGATCTGTTCAGGTCCCTTCTGACCCTACTAACTACAAAACTATATTTTTTGTTTGCGTGTTTGTGATCTCATTGCCTTGGCTTGTTGCAGGTGCTGTGTCTGGGGAAAGCAGCTTTTCCAAAGCAGGCATTTACAGTTAGCAGGTGAGTATTCTGAAATCTCTGACATTGCAACGGTTTTCTCTGATTTCCTTACAACTAAGCAGAATTGGAAGGAAAAATCTCAGTGATAGAGGGGAAACACAGCTGTAGGGGGGCTGGGAATAGTTTCAGCTGACAAGAGGAAGCTGATGGAACGGTGATGATCACGGTCTGCAGAAGGGAAGGTTTCTTGCACTAGCAATGTAAGAGTAGTCTCTGCTGGGACATCAGATATAGGCTATGGGCCAGAACTGGGCATATGACATGCTTGATTATACAGAGTTCAAGCCACTTTATAATGAACATTTATAGCTCTCGCGGATGCAGCTGTAGCCTTCCAAATATAAATGTATGCACCAATGTCAAGATGTCTGCTACAGTCTTCAGGGAGCCTGAAAAAAAAAAATTGGAGTGAGCACCCATAACCCTTAATCTGATCATCAGAGTGTAAAATCTAACACCCCTATGATGCTGCTGAAATGCGAGCAATGCTGACAGTTTAGTAGACTGAATAGGATGGAGGGTAGGAATTGAAATTTCTTGCAGAAGAAGAAAGACAGGCATAAATAAAAGCTTGATTACTGTGTAAAGCAGTGTTTCTCAGCCTCATTAGACTCTGCATGCCCCTTGTTAGACTAGGCAACCTTTGGAAATGTCAGCTTTTAGCTTTCACTTGCTTCGGTTCTTCTGTTGCAAAGAACTCAAAGTCAGAATGGTTTTGACACTGGATTCCTACTTGAAATCTCTGCGTTTATCTTGTGAATTGGGTAGGTGTTTGCACGCCTAACGGTGCTAATATTGCATGGCACCCCACGGTACCTTTAAAAGGATCTCATGGCACCCCAGTTGTGAATTGCTAACATCAAGGCTTTACTGTCCCCTCAAATCTTTGTGCGACACTTGTGTTGCTGCTTTTGGAGTATATGCTTTGGATCATGGAGAGCATGCCTTCCTGGGTGACACCTCAACCCACATGTCGTGGAATCTGTTTCTTTCTGAGTGAGTTTTATGCTCCTGGTTTAGTGGATAGCACATTGGACTTGGGATGTCTGGGTTTGATTGCCAGTTCAACCACAGACTCCCTTTTTGACCTCAAGCAAGTTGAGTCTGTGCTATCTGTGCAATGAGGATAAAATAACTATTTGCCCCAGGGATTTTTGAGGGCAAAATCCATTAATGGAAGATGAAGGGCTTGGATAATATAGTGATGAAGCCATAATCACAATCACGCTTATGCAAACTTTGGTTCCATTCTTTATCCCTCTACGTTTCGGGTATCATCATTCAAGTGTAATGAATCTTTATGCAAAGACTGAAACAAAGTGCCATAGTTCTGTAGCTGAAATAACAACAGATTTTAATTTTCATCTTGGCATTTTCTTTAGGTCAGCAGCCTTCAGGGAGAACCCCATCTGTGCTGTAGGTAAGAACTCTGTAGATTTTTATACGTACAAAAAACTGCCATGTACCTGAAATAAATATTCCCACGTATGCTCATGTCACCTTCCTTTTGAAATCTTTCAGCCAAGTTTGAGCTGATACTAAACTAAGTCAGTCAGGCTGGCACCGTTCCACCTTCCAGTAACACCACTGCTCTGACCTTTAATCCTAGCATTATTACACTGCTGGCTGTCTGCTAAGCAAAGAGTTCTAATCATCACTTTGTGTTGGGGAGAAATACCTGCTGGAGGCCATAATCCATCTACCCTAGTCCAGGAACTGCTAGTGGAGTCAGGCTTAAGTATTTTGGAATCCCATTTATCACATTTCTGCAATGCAGATTTATTTATTTGACTTGCATGCTGCTTTATCCTGGAAGGCTCAGGGCAGCTTACAATAAAACCCAAAGAGGTGGAACAAAAAGAGCCCCCAAACAGCTCCTGAAAATTTAAAAAATCCACAGCATCCCATTTGTCCTCTGAGAAACAACTATATTAATTACAACAAATAAAACAGTTTGGTCTTGTTTCACAATAGTTTGCTTCCACTTCATAAAATTGCCTGATTCTGGGGTATATTATTCAAGTGAAGGCTTTGCAGGATGGATTCTGTCCCAGTACAGTGAGTAGAAACAAGGTCTTTTTTATTTCTTCCTCATGAATTTTTGAGCAGGGCTGGATTTAAAATGGTAGAGCTTTGTCCTGGATCCATCACAGTTTCACTATCAGTGTTATTTAAAAATGGTTTCTATCCTTCTTCTTCTGTTTGCTGGACTCCTTTACCCTTTCTCCCAGTCTCTTCTGTTGGTGTCTGCCATATTACCACCCTTTTCTCACTTGTATCTCGCCTGAGAACTCCCCTGCCCCTACCAGGTGGATTAAGACAGGGGCCACATCTTCTGTGCAAACCCTTCCCTTGCCCTTGGCTGCTATAACATCCAGTTGCAGATAGCCAGCCTCTTCTTCCTCATGTCCCCCTCTTTCAGAAGCACCTCTCATGGATAAGACTATATGCAGCTTCCACACCAACTGCTTAATCAAGGGGAGGGTTGTCTGGTGTTTAATTAGAATCACATTTCTTTGTTTTGGTCCTTTAAGGTGGCACACTGCTGAGCTGCAGCAGACATTACCAGTCACAGCCAACCCATGGCATCGGGAGATTCAGACACCTGGCACCAAAGGTAGGCAGTTCAGCTCCCTGCTGACTTGGAACATATTGATATGTTCACAGATTGATTAAAACAATGATGCTCAACCTCCAGCTGGTGGGCCAGATCTGGCCCGTGCGTCTCATAGGTCTGGAAATTTGGTGGTGGAGGAGCAGTGGCTGCATTAAATACCACTCCCCTGCTGGGAAATTTCTTGACCCCTGGAGAGCCCCGCAGCCCAGATGACAGTGTCCTGTGTGTTAGATTGTGCTAGTGTTGGGCTGGATCTGGGTGCATGGACTGAGCCTGTGCCACTCATCCATCTGAGGGATGAGCACCACTGGCTTAAGGCTGGGTTATGCTGAGTATACAAAACAGGCTGTACTGCTTTACTGCTACTTTTTCAGTTACAATCACTGTTCACGAGAAATAGTCTGTGCATAGGACTATGTTAATATTTTCATCTATCAGTAGGCAGGAGAAAGGGGTTCACGATTGCAGCAAACCAACTGCAAGTGGTTGCTGAATGTTTTTGGCAAATAGAAGCCTTGGTCCATTTTAAAATTTCTTATGTGACCTGAAATTTTGGGAAGATAGTTTTGCAACATGAATGAAACAATAATTCATGTAGATCAGGGGTTCTCAACGTTTTTATGCTGTGGCCTGGCAAACCGCAGCCCAGTAGTCACAGCCAACCACGGACAGAATTTCTGGCTGGAAGGCAAGTAAGGATACTCCCACCCTCTGGGCGGGGCGGGGTGGACCTAACCTCGCGCTGCTGCAGGCCCTGCAGAAAGAGCTGCAGCCTCTCCGTCCAGCTCTGGAGGGCTGTGGTTTGCTGGTCCATGGCCACTTCTGGTCTGGCAGCCAAGCGTGCTGTGGACCAGCAGCCGACCCACTGTGGCCCGGGGATTGAGAACCCCTGATCTAGACAGGTGCCTCAGAGGCAGCAGCTGAAACAGAAGCAGTTGGTTTCAGCTCCTCAGTTCCTTCTGGAAGAAGTTGGTTAGTCATGCTAGGGACACGTTTTTTAGGCAGCTGTGCAGTGCTTTTATTATGCCTGTTGCCCAGGATTCAAACAGCTAAGCTTCACAGCACTCGTGTCAAGTAGGCATTGTCCTGCTTTATAGTTACAGTTGGGGCCTTTGATCACAGAGAAGGCATGTCAGTAAAAAGTAGAGTCCAGGCTGCCACTTCTCTGCTGTAGTGACTAGCAGACACTCTTCTCTCTTAAGCATGAATTTGGTTGGCTTGTTTCAATGATACTCATGGATATTTCACTCTCTTACAGATCGTAAGGAAGCGAAGAGAAAGAATACAGATGAAGGAGATAAATCCCGGGACAGATTATGAATATGGAGATTTGAACATAGAGATAACTGGCTATGATATGTGCTTGGTGGAAGGTTATGCTCGATTTGTTCATAAACTCTGCAAAAACCTGTCCGTCAGAGTGATTGGAAGGTACAAAGAGCACTCATGTAAATCACTTGTTGCATTTATGTCTTGCTATATTTACTTATTCTTGCAAGGTACAAGAGTAAGAAAGCCTTATTAGGTGAAGATGTTGCACAGACAAGAACATAATAAAATCATCAGTCTCTCCCTCGTATACATACATGTGTGTGAGAGATGAGGATTTTTGTGGGGTGATATATTTTATTGGACCAACTGCATCTTAAGGACCAGTATAGTTCTTGGGTTTTGATCGGTTGAGAGAGAGGCATAGGCCAGTGATCTGTGGAGAGGAATGAGAGGGAGAGGGATTTGAATTCCAATCATGTCTCTGCCAGTAGCGTATCACTTCTCTTCCCAGCTTTTCCATATGCAAAATGTGTTTATTAATGGTAGCTTGCCTCACAGAGCTTGAGGGTGGTTTGATATTGATGCAGTTCTTCAAAGATAATGTGAACATAAGAATGATGTGGCATCCTTGAATGCGTTTCCTCTCTGTGTCTCTTCAGTGCATTATGTGATGTTAATGTACTCTCACTCAGCAGTCAGTCCTGCTGGATTCTTTTGCCTTAAACATTATGGTTTTGTCTGTCTTGGAAAAGAAATGGAGTGTGATGTTAGACAGCTCTGCTGCAGACTTCTGCGTGGAATCAGAATCTCCTCCATATATCCCTTGTGAGGACTGAGCTCTCCTCCTTCCTCTGCATTTGGACACAAAGTCATTTTTCACCCACTCTTGATCATCTCGATCTCTTCTCATCTAAAACTTGGAAGAAGCAGCTATGCTAAGCTCGAATGAGGCAGGACAGAGACTTGTGAGCTTTGTCCTACACACTTGTTCTGCCATGGATGTAATTCTCCTAAAATGGGATGAAAGGCTCAATATTTGTGTGTTTTCATTTGCTTTCCAAAGCCTTGTCATGAGGCTGCCTCATGAAAAGGCTGGAATGCTCTTCTTTAGTTTGGAAATAGCAGAGGGGAGGTCTGTCCCCTGGGTCTCTGCTTCTATTATTAGTATTGCCAGATTTTTTTATTTTATTTTTTTTTTTTTTACTGTTTCTGTCCTTTCTGGCTGTGAAGTCTTTGACTGGATGCAGCCTCTTCTGCCTCCTCTCCTGGACACTGAAACAAAAGCCTTAAGATATGTTGGCTATTCTAAATAGGGTACTAACTACACTGATCACTTCCCTGCTCTCCGACAGAGGAGATCTGCAGAGTGGTTTCATGAGGGGAAACAGGTTACTGTGCAGTGAATGCAGTGTCACATCTGTATGGTCTCTTGTTTAGATCTGAGATGCTGTCCTGGAGATTAGAGTGGTGTCTTTTATGTCCTTGGTTTCTCAGTGTTGCATATGAGACAGGCATGCAGCTCCTTAACATCTGGGCTGTTCTAGGTTGTTCTGTGGATCACGTGGCAGACAGGGACTGCTGCAGTATGTTTGCAGATGCACTATGTTTTCTGAGGATGGTAGCTGCTGGAATAAACTGTCCTATCTGTTTAAGTGAGGAAGTAGCACAAAGATTGTAGGAGATTGTCTCTTAACTCCTCTGATGATAAGGGCTGGCTCTCTTGGCACCTGAGTGGTGCTGTTCCAGGGACCTGTTCTATCCAGTGTAGCAGGATTTAAGCAAATAGGTGATCTGTGTCTGAATGTGGTTTCAAATATGCAATCTGCGTAAAGCTTAGTGCTTAAAAACACAAGGAAAATTGCACTGTTTAGACTTTTTAGACTCTTGAGTGAACATCCAGCATCTAGAGAGCAGTGGTATAAAGGCCTGGGGTTAGAAGCAAAATATGTTACGACGCTCTTACTCCATTACCAATCCCATAACCCTTCTGTTGCCTGTTTAAACATTTGTATTTAAGAAAGAGACTGGCAGATGCCGGGAAATGAATGGACCTTTTAATGTAATGCACCTACTTTAAGGAAGTTGCTTAGGATGGAATGCTGCTTCATACCCTCAGTGGTGGATCTCATCAGTTTTAATATAAAATTTGAATATTAATACTAATATCTACATGTCCTGACCAATGTCAGACCCTGTTGTGTTTGGAGCTGTACCCAGGGAAAGAGACAACCTGTGCTACAAAAGTCCATAAGCTCAACTGGCCAGGCAGACAAAGCACAGGACAGAAGAAGTTGTGCTATCCCCAATTTACAGATGGCAAACTGAGGCACAGATATGTTAAATGATTTGTCCAGTCACAAAAGAAGCCTGTAGCACACTTGGGCATAGTGGGGAATATTCTATTCTCATTTATACCCGGATAAATGCAGAGCAACAACACTGAAGCCTGTAGGTTTACACTTCTGTAAAGAATAGTTTCCTCTTGTGTACCAGGTGCACATGGCTAGAAGTCTCCATAACTTGGCTTGCTACACAATCATTTGTCAACTCTGTTGTTGACCACTGTAACTCAGTTAGTGCTGATGAGAATAAAACAGTGTAGCAGGTGTTTGCACACTGTAGTTTAAAAGAATGGCTCTTGTTGGCCCCTGTGATCAAAAGAGCTTCTGGTCATGCTGATGCTTTAGGCTTCACTTGTACCTCTTTCCTGTAAAAAGCCCTCCTGTGCTGGCCCTTATTGCCAGGACTTTGCCTGATTCATTTCTTCTCCTGTCCCTTGGTATCTGCTGCGGGAGGTTCGCTTGTGCCAGGGAGGCCTTGCACACATTCCTCCCCTCTCCTGGGTGCTGACAGCTGAACTTGTTCCGGCAGCTACGCGTTGCCCACGAAAACCACCGAGGTGATGGTAGTACAGGAGATGGGGAACAAGATGTACATGGATGCTGTTCTTACCACCCACCAGCGAGTGGTTCAGGTAGGACATTGTCTTTGCTTCTCAGAGCCCTCTGCTCCTTCCTAACACTTCCTCCCTGAGGATCTCCAAGCACTGGGCAAATATCAGCTAACTGTTTTGGGAAATGGGGAAACCAGGTTTGTTTTTGTGGGCAATTGTAGTACAAAGGAGTTTAATGAGACATCCCACAATAAGCCACTTGCAGAATGGAGAACCAGGGAGCCCCCTCTTATCCTCAGCTTTAACCATTAGATATGCTGCCTCTCACCGGGAACGGTAGCTAATAATAAAAGAAAAAAAGGTCACAGGGACAGGGCCTGTCTCCAGGCAGGTACTTTCAGTAAACCCTTTGTAACTCACTGGTTACACTGTAATAGGGCTGTAGTGTTGTAGCCATGACAGTCCAGGGAATGTGTCAGAAACTGGGTTTCTTTGGTAATATTTTTTTATTCAACCAACTGTATAATTGGGTGAGATGTCGGGAGCACAAAGTGCTGTTTCTCAGATCGGACTTCCTAGGTGGCACTGGTTATACGGGCAGTTTTGAAACTGGAATTTTTTTCCTGAGTTTCTCTTCCCTCAAAGCTGCAGATGCCCAGGCTAAGTATAGGCTTTCAATTTCTACCAGGAAAAATTTTGCTCTTCTAATAGAAACCAGGAGGTACAGATATTCCAGCTTTTTTCTCCCAGAGCAAGAATGGCCATTCTGGGAGGAAATAAACCCATTACAACCAGGTACAAATGGCTCCCGAGAGAGTTTCCCCAGGAGAATGAACATTTGTTTGCTTTCCTACGGCTTAGCTCCTCCTGGGGTTCAGGAGCTGTGGAGCTGTGGGAAAAAGCTCCACAACTCTGGAGACTGGGGTCGCCTCGGTCTGGAGAAGGTGCAGGGGCAGTTGCTCCCACTTCTCCACCAGGCAGTTGGGAGGGGAGACCAGAGCAGCCACCAGGTCTCCTTGCCTCCATCTCACCGCTTTGCAGTGGGATCAGTCTGGACACTGGGAGCAAAGCACAAGGAGCAGTGCTACCCCTTGCCTGCTTCTCCTTTTGGACTCCCTGTGTGAGAAGTGGGCAGGGGGCTCTGCCCTTCTGCTGTAGTCCCCCTGGGAACTGCTGCTTCTCCCACAATCATTTCTAGCAGTGGAAATTTTCCATCTCCAGAACGGAGTTTTTGGATGCGGCCTCAAGTCTTCAGATTCTGCCTCTGCCAGATTACATCCTCAGCGTTTACAGGCTAACCGCTGCAGAGTGCCAACACTGGGAAGTTTGGAGATTGACAGTGGGATCTGCTGGTCTTCCATTGCAGAGTCTGTGACAGGTTCCAGCTGCTAGTGACAGTTTATTCTAGCTCATGCTAGCCCTATGCTATGTGTGAATGTCTCTGTAGCTGCAGCACGTGTGGATGCCCCCTCCACTGATTCATTTGTAAACCTCTGATTCAGAGGAGTGGAGTTGGAGGATGTAAATATCATAGGAAAGGGATGAGAGGTATTCAACTGAGATCCAAAATGAGGTGGGGAGAGACCAGAGACTCAGTCCAGCTAGCAAGAGCAGCAGTGCAGAGGGCTTGTCCAGACTGCAGTGAGGCTGGGTAGGAACGGAGGCTGTTGCATTAGAAGTTCCCCCATCTGGACTTGCTGGGATGCTCTGGGTATGAAAGGCGTGAGGATCCCTAAATCTGTGTGTGTTGGAGTACAGTTGTCCCCATTATGCTCTGCCATAGGGCTGTGCTGAACTGGGCTCCTTTACTGTGCCATTAATGTAACAAGTCTGTATACGTTTGGCTTGTCTTCTGCAGCTTTTTCTTTTGACCTTTCAGGTCAGGAGTCTGAATGCAACTTTTGCTCCTATCCTCTTGGAAATTATGCAGAGTAACCAGCCTGAAGGCGTCCGTCTGTCAGTGAAAGAGGTACATTGGGTTGTATTGATGTGTTTGCCTTCAGAAAGCCTTTATTATAGGCAAGGTGAAGTCTGCCTCTCGGGAACGCTGTATAAGGGCTTGCTCCATCTCTTTCGTTGGCTGGTTGCCTCTTCCATTGCCCAGTGCCTGTTGGAATGAGGCCTCCGTGTGAACATTGGGCAATCTGAAACGGTTTCTTGGAGCTCATGAACTACAGCCTTACCTAGCATCTGGACTCCTGCCTCCAGTCTTGTGTTAGGGAGAGGAGAGAGCCCTTTCCCCATTACCATCCAAAGGGAAAGTGGATTGTACATTGCTTTATTTTGTTCCTAGAGTAAATCTCTAGGAAAATCAGACACTTTTTTTGTCTTTGCTACTACTCGACACTTTCTATGCCAGGATCACAAAACACTTTCTCAAACAGGGAAATACTGTCCCTATTTTGTAGATGAAGACACAGATATTAATTTATCATGACTTACTCTGTGGCAGAGTTAATCCAAAGCAGGGTGTAATAATGGAGCCCCAGAGAATTCACTCCATGTTCTTGGCTCTAACTCAGCGGTGCTCAATCTTGTGGATAGCACAGAGCCCATCTGAAGCTCAGATCAGGCTGTGGGCTCCAGCACTCCCCCTTGCACCAAGATTGAGTCCTGGGGGGCTGGCAGCACCCCCTTCTGCCACCATGTGCCAGGAATGGGCCCTTTGCCCCCCTGGGATTATGTCCCTGTGGGCCAGCAACAGCCACTTCTGCTGGGGTCGGGTCCCTGGGTCCTGGCACTGCCCCTGCCCACCATCCTACGCTGGGATTGGGCCCTGGGGCCCAGCAGCACCACCCCAACCTGGCCCTGTGCACTGAGATCAGGTACCAGATCCAGTCCGTGGGGTCTGGGGTTCCCAACAGCTCCAGAAGTTTGGTGGTGGGGGAGTGGTGCCATTGCTTTTCTACCGCTGGAATTCTGGAGCCGTGGGGAGCCCGGCAGGCCAAATGACACAGTACTGCAGGCTGGGTCTGGCCCGTGGGCCAGATGTTGAACCCCCTGCTCTAACTGCACGATTGCACTTCCTGGGAAGGTTATCTTGTTCTCTTCAGAAGCTCTTAATAATCCTCTAGTTCCCTGAATTGAAACTGCTAACACACAGAACAGAGCCCTTAGTGTATCAGTGACAAGTTAGGTATAAGCCCTCCAGCCAATTTCGTGGATGCCCTTTTATTACAAAAGAAAGCCAGCTCTGCTTATTCAAGGGAGTTTGTTGAGCCAAAAATGTCTGTATTTGAAGTAATGTAAGAGTGAAGTTGTAGCCGTGATAGTGCAGAAATTATGTGAGAGGCAAGGATTGCTTAGGGTGAAAGGGTGAGAACCAGCAAAGAATGTCTTACATTGGAAAGCTTGTCTGACTTTACCCCGACTACATCATTGGTCCAATAAAAGAGATCACCCTAAACAATCTTTGCCTTTCTCAGATATTGAAATAAGAGTTTCTCAGGGTCATGATTTTTTCAGCATCCAGCCACCTTACAAATCATTTTTCCCAAGTTTGGCTTTTAAAGGTCCTAGGTAGATTCCTTGAGCAGGAGAATTGAAGTATGAGGATGCAGGTAACTTTGCCTGGTCTGGTTTAGTATTGTTTCACAGACAGGAGTAGAGGGAAAAGGCTTCTTGCCCACTGTTCATTTTATGTGCAAGTCTGAGTGGTACCTTTCTCCCTTATGGTCACCATGTTTTTCTCATGGCTGCCATCAGGAAAGAGATCTGTGGCTTTGCAGTAAGCTTAGGTTTGGGCTGGGGGGGGGGTGTTGATCTTCCCGAACAGTCAGTTCTTCAGTTCTCGCTGAAAAACACACGCACAGTTGGCATTGATAGTTGCACTTAACCAACACCATTTGGTTAATGGCTTGACTGATTTTCTGTGTACTCATAAATGATGCATCATCCCTAGCTCAAGTTCTATAAGCTTTAGGTGGCAACTCACTGAGCAGTACTACAGGGGTGGTCTTGATGCCCAGGGGAAGGCTGTGTTTCACAGGGTAATACTTAAGCCAGTGATTCT